ATATATAATAATAATGATTTCATATAATTTTATTATAAAATATCTATAATTAAAAATACAATTTTAAAATAAAAGAATAAATGCTTTAATTCGTGTTTCTTTAAGTATACTTAGTTTAAGGAGTGAATTGTTTGATGCAATCAATTTATTAGGATTTTAATATTTAAATTATATCATTAACTTAAGCAGAGTGGTATTGTGAAGATTTAAATTCAAAACCTATCAATGTATTTCATTGTAAAAAAGGATATGATTTAGTAAGATTGGAATAATATTCCCATACGTGTCATAAAATTTAGAAGGAATTTAATACTTAAATTCCGCACTTTAAAATTTAAGTTTATTTAGATGTTTATGGTTATGGATCTTTAGATTAAATTAAAATGAATGCATTAAAATCAAAGTAGCTGATTAATAAGTTAATGTTTGTATCCAACCATTAGTAAAAAATTAGGCTAATCTGTTTAATGTGTCTATTTAGATCAATTTAACTATTAATTACGAAGGACTTAAGTCATTTCATTATACCTCTCTAATGATTAATTAAGAATTGCATTACAGTTTAAAGATTAAACTCATAAATGTAAAAAGTGATTTTGATTAATATTTTATATTATACTTTTAAATAATTTATATATAGGGCTTTAGTAAAAAAAAGAGAATGGAGTAATACTGATTCATCCTTTTAAGATGAATCATATTTGATTAGGAATGTGTAATTATTTTGATATAGATGTTATCAAACTTGTAAAAAATGTTTCGGCGAAGGTAAGGATCAGTGTGATTCTTGTTATTCAGACATTTAAATTATTAATTCTACATGCGACAATTGCATATAGAAATTAGATTTAGGATTTCTTCATATTCCTATAGGATGTGTTAATAAATGTCCTGATGGGTTTGATTTTGATTATGATTAAGTGTAAATTGATGATAGATGTATGATATTAGATTATCCAAGATAATTAAGCAATATGTTAAAAAGATTGCTAAATATGTTAGAATAACTAAAATTGTCTTGTTTGCAATTCATTAAAATTTAATTATTTAGGATAATGTTTTGATATTTTTCCTGATTTCATAAAAGCTTATGGAGGAAATTGTTTGAATAATAATGATTAACTATTGATGTAATTAGTTTAAGAATTTCATAATCTATCAACTACTAAAGATGGGATAGATTAGTTATTTATATTAAAGGATAATGATGAAAAGGATTTTCAAAAAGGAGATAAGATGATCCTAAATGGGCTGATGGCTATGAAAATAATCTATACTCAGTAGATAAAACAGTAGATTGTAAGAATTTTGCATATAAGAAAGTTAAGATTGAATTTAAATGTAAAAATCAAGATTAACTTGGGTTTTGTGGAATGTAAAATATGATTATAATTTGGATCTTTGATTGTGATTCAGAGTATCAATTTGATTAGTTTAATTATGATACTAATCGAAACCTTGTATTCCTATTTTTGGAGATTAAATAGTTGTTGGAGATGAGGAATATGATGATGGTAACAATTATCTATTTGATGGATGTTTTCATTGTAAATATTAATCTTAAGAAAATTGTGAAGTTTGTATTAGAGGGGAATGTTTAGAATCATAGATAATAATACATCCTTTTTTATATATATATATTACAAGAGTAGATTATAATTTATCATATGATTTTAATATAATACAATTCACTTGCATTTTATATTGTAATATTTGAATAAATGATTATTGTTTGTAATGTGCATAAGGTTATTATTTAAATTAAATAAAAAACTTATGTGAAACATATTGTGTAGACTCTATTTTATAAGGTAATGAATAATGTGATGATGGTAATTTGTGATGGTTGTTCAAATTGTAAATTAATTTAATATTAACTATGTGATGATACAATAGAATTATCAAAGTAACATTGTTCAGTATGCCATTTAGGCAAATTTTTAAATGTTAAGATGGTTTTCTAGAAAATGATGTTTGTATTTCAATTTGTGGAGATGGATTACTTAATTAAATAGAAGAAGAATGTGACATTAAAGAAGATTAAGGATGTATAAATTGTAAAATTTAGAAAGGATACATTTTTGGATAATTAAACTTTTCTATTTTTTGTACTTGTGATATATTAATGCACTAAATGCACAACATTCAATAATGTATCATTATTATGTCTCTCATGCATAGATGGTTCTTATCCAATTGAAGATAAATGTTTTTAATGTGATACAAATTGCATTATTTGCATTTAATAATCCAATATGTGTATGTGTATATTAAATTATACTTTTTATTATACTTCTTGTTTTAGAAATGATTGTAATTTTTGTGAATCTACTCCTGGTCTAATTGCAGATATTAAATCTAAATAATGTATATCAATTTGTGGAGATGGAATATAATTTTAATTTTATGAATAATGTGATGATCATAACTAAATTGATGGTGATGGCAGTGACTCTTAATGTTATTTAGAATATTTTAATGAGGATCTTAAATAAATTAAGAGTTATTATGTAATTGATAAGAATACATATGATTTAAAGCTAATTAATATTTCAGAACATATATACTTTTATGCAACAATACAAATGTTATTATAGAAAATATTGAATCTTAATATTACACTGATACTTCCAAACAAATTGATGGCTTAACTTGTAAATTATACTTTCATTTCATGAAGTCTGTTTTAAATTCAATACAATTCATGTGAAAATATAATATTCCAAAGTCACCAATAGGATGCTTTATGAAAAAGATAGTTTAGTATTTCATTTTGATATAGATCCAAATTAATATATTGTTTTAAGCGTAGATGAAGTAATATTAAAAGATTAAATAAAAACTGTTTAATAAACCTTTAATTTTATCTTTCTTATTTTAATACCAATTTCTATTGTTACTAATCTTTTTGAATATTAATGGGCGGTATTGGAGACATTAAGTTGGATCAATAATTTTTACTTTCTTAATGTCAATTATCCTTTTAATTTAGAAATATTTTTATTAAATTGTGAATGGTCATCTTTCATTAGTTTTCCAACTTATCAAGAATTGAATTAATCTGATTGTAATTACTATTTTGAAGCTCCCAATCAAATTTAAAAACAAAGGAATTGATCCATTATTCTTTAACAATATTCAAATTCCATTTATATTTATACTTTCAGCTATCATTCTTTATTTCATTAACTACTATTAGATATTTTCATTTCTAAAGGAAATTCTTCAAAAAAAATTATAATTAAAGACAAACATTTTAGCATTTTTAATATTTAAATCAAAAAAATCAAATAAGATTAAATCAAATAAGATCAAAAATAAATATATTAAAATCCTTAAATGAAATCCATTACAAGAATATTAAAATCCATTCTTATTTCATTTAAAAGTAGAATAAAATACACTATTTCCTTATGCTAACTTGACATTAGAGTAGAAATTCTAAATTATTTTATTCTTATTTAAATGATATGTTTTTTATATTATTTTTTCTAATAAAATGATCAAAATTCTAAAATTTTATTAAACTCTTGAAATTCTATTTTAATTATCATTTCAACGAATTCTTCAAACATTATTGTTAGTTTAAACTAGTTGTTTGCTATCACAACTATAAGCATTATTATATTTTAATTGTATTAATAATACAAGATACTTAATATTCATTAAATTTTAGCTAATAATTAATAATTCTCAGATTAGTAAGGAATGTATAAATTAAAGAAAAGAAGTTTTTATAATTTTATTAAAATGTTAATACTAAAAATTAATATGGATTTTATTATTAATTTTTTGGATCAATAGTTAAAATTCTTTATATTTTTTAAATGGTTAATTTATATTTTTTAAATGGTTATTTATTATAATACTCCTATTGTCTAAACAACTTTATGTTTTGGATCTAGTTCATTAGGAGAAGTTTTTTTACTTTATTAAAACCCATAAGAAAAAAAAAAAATTTTTATTTGAATATGATTTCAAATCTTAGTTAAAGTTCAATTTTTTGTATAGTAATTTTATTTGTAATTAATGATCAAAAAAACATTAAATTTATAGATAAGAAAGAAGATGTTTTTGGTTGGTTAATAATATCCTTGGCCTTACTAGCAATTTTTGTTGAATTATGCTCTTTAACAATTGAATTGATTCTTCACTTTTATTTTATATTCAAAAAGATCAAAGAAAAATTTTAAAACTATTTTATTAAAACTAATACAATTAACGAATCGCAGAAAAATGAAACTATTCAAAAAACTGTTAATTGTTCAAATATTAAAAAAGATTAATCATATTTTTAAATAGTTTTATTTTGATAATTATTAAAAAATTGATTTTATAGAAAAATTAAATAATCATTATTCTCATTTTCTTAATAGAATAATATATATTAATATATTAAATACTTTAAAACAAAAAAGAGATTTAATTTTATAATATATTTCTGTCTATAATTATATTTCACTATTTAACTTTAATCTAATATTTTAATTAGCGATAAAATTTTAAAATATAAATCAATATAAATTTAATTCTACCTTCAATTCTATTTTAACTATTCAAAATTTTGAATTATATCAGATAATTTAATACAATTAAAATTATTCGAATCCACTACTAGTTTCAATAGGTGATAGTTTTTATATAAATAACTTAGAGGAATCGAACTACAATTTTAACAATAAATCAACTTAAGGAAAACTTCTTAGAATTTTAATATTTTATAAATTTAAGATCACAAATTGATCAATTATTTGTTTATAATAATAATTTATAAAACTTTATGTTAAACTTATTTTGATTCAAAATATAAATAGAATTGGAAAAAGTATTTTAATAAATAATTAAAGGATGGGGAGATCAATAAAGTAATTATAAAGATTACGAATTAAAAATTTTTATATTTATACTCTTTATAAAATTATCACGCTTTATATTTTTCCAGATGTGTGTTAGATATCATTTCTGTCCAATTTATATCAATATTAGATGGTTAAATTTTATCCCTCCATTCTGCATATGTAAATTCATTTTGACAAAAATTAAGAATCATTTCTAATGATAAAGATTTCTCAGGTTAGGAACATGCTAAAAAGTAAATTTTATCTTTTATAGATTTTGATAATTTGGCAAACGATTCAATTTCTTATTTTGGATATTCAGCTTGTCCATCAGTATAAAAAAGAATGACTGATCTGAAAAATAAATAAAAAATAAATACTAATTGAATTCAGAATTTTATTTTATAAGATCTAATGTTAACTTAAATGCAGGCCCAAATTTGGTATCAGGACCGTTTTAAAAAACAAGTAATTTTAGCTATTCTTCAAATTTTACTGTTTAACAATTTACAACAATTCTTGCATCTTTATTAAATATAACCACACTGACTTTAACATTTTCTTTCTTATTTATTTGTTCAAGTTGTGATTTAACACATTTGATAACTGAAGTCCAATGATGATACATAGATCCAGAATCATCGAGGATGAAAATATAATGAGTTGAGCTATGTTGCAAATGCATAGGAAGATCATGTTTTTTTAAATAGATGATTTCTTATTATAATTCTTTTGACAATTATTAGCAAATATATTAACCTACACCTCCATTCCAAATATCTATCATTTTTTATTTATTTTCTTAGACCTGTTATATTGATAAAATATCCTTGAAACTCCATGAATTATAAATTTATTTGATTTCTCTCCAAGTTTTAAATTTACGATTTTCTTTTATTTAGATTTCTGCTTCATCATTTATTTCCTCGCAAGTGAAGAGAGATGGAGACGATCTGATTAAAATTCTATTCATTCCTTTATGGATATAAATAATTAATACCTCTTAATTAATGTCCATTGTTGCACTTATGCTTATGATCCTTTTCTTAATAATATAAATAATCGCATTTTCTATTGCACATTGGACATGTATGCTCACAACCATTCAAATTATTGTACAATTCTTTAAAAAGCCATTTTAGTTGAAATTCATCAATGGAAGTTTTTAATTTTTTACTTTCAATAGATAAAATTGAAATCTAAGATATAAATTCTATCAGGAATGGCTGCATTAAAAATAGTGAAATATCATAATTTGAAGTTTATTCTATAGATATATTAACTTATTTTATATTAGTATCGAAGAAGAATATCTATTGATATTGAAAATTTGGAAGTTTCTCAACATCTTTACCTCTAATAAAACTAAAAATTGAATCTAATGGTAGAGTTTAATTCATGTATTTATCAAAGCATTCTTAAATTTCAATGTCCTTATTCTTAGATAACTATAAAACTTTATCTAGTAAGATTGATGCATTATTTTTAATCAAATTCAAGCAATTTTCAACATAAAATTAAACTAAAAACTAATTTTCTAAATTTTTCTAAAGATTTTATATAAATTGCTCAACATATTTTTTAATAAACCCCCTTTAATCTATAAGGTATTCAGTTATTGAGGTTTCAATCAATTAACCAGAAATTATATTATCTATCTTTTCTATTAGTAATTATTAATCTAACTATTTAATTATCTAAGAAGATGTTTTTTATTTAGAATTAATGATATCTCTTACTTTATTCTTATTATCTTTGTAGAACTAAATAATACATTAATTATATATCTATTTTGGATATTCTTTTGCTAATTAGTTGATTTCTTCTAATTCTTTTTTCATTAGACTATTTTAGAACTTACTTTTCATTTCAGCTTTTTTTAACATAAATTTGTCTTATTCTTATTGATACATTTTCAATTTATCATAACATATAAATCTCCAGATAATAAGAAATGAAAATAAATTCAATTTTCGAACAACTACTGGATTAAATTCGATACCATAAAAGGCTAATTCTTAAGAAATTGCTTCAATTTTATTTTAAACTTCTTTTTTAATTGCATAGATTAATTATATACTAATTTGAGTCAAATCTTCATTCATTGAAATTAATTAAAACACATTAGAATAATCTTATTATTGGTTACCTCTAGACTATATCGATTCATTAAATTATTTATATATAATATCATAGATTTCTGAAAATAATTTATTCCATCCTTAATTTTCATTCATAATTTCTAAAAATAAAGATGAAAATTTCTAGTAAAAATCTTATTAATCAGTTTGATCTGTTTTTTAGTTTATAATATAATTAAAAAAGTTTTCATACTTTGATTTTTAACTTTATTTACAATTGATATTTGTTTCTTTATTAAAAACAAAAATATTGTTTTATTCTTATATATTGATATCATAAAGTACTTTGAAATTTTTTAATTTAGGAAAATATTACAAGATATAGTTTTTACTAAATTTAATCATTGGTATTGGTTATAATTATGATATTTTAATGGAATTGATTAAATTATCAACTATATTTAAAGATGATTCATAATATGATTGACTACGATTATTGAAAGTACTTAATGATATTGGTTTTTAATGTTCATCATTACTATTTTATTCACTTTAAGTGGACTATGTTATAAATTTAGTGCTTGATGACATTTGGATAAGTTTAAATTATGTATAATTTATTTATGAGTTTGAATACTTAATTTGATTATTTTTAGAACTTGATGTTGGTTTAAGATTATCTTAGAACTACTAAAAATCAGAATCAACCTAACATAAAACCTCTTTTAAGGTTCTTTCGTCGAATTCAATTGGTAATTGTTTCAAAGTAGCAAATAATTAGTGAACATTCTACTTTTTTTATATCTATCCTTTATTTTCATTTGTTATATTAATTAATTGTTGCTTTAAATTTTATTTAATTTCATTCACAATCTCTGTTTTTTCTAAAACATAATAAGTAGTCATCACTTCCAAATAATTTAAAGGGTTTATAGTAGGAAATTTAGGCATATTTTTAATTCTTTTTTATATATCTTCATCAAAGATATTTTTTAATTCTTATCTACTTTATTTATTAAGATTATAAAAATAGTTCTATCTAATATCTTAATTGAATATCTCACAAATTTTCTATATTTCATTCTATTTATTTGTATTAGGATCCTATCTGTTAACACAACTTACGAAATAATTAATTGATTCTATTAAATCATCCTCTAAAGAATAGATTTTCTAATATCTCGAAAAGCAGTCAAATAATTTTATTTAAAATTCAGTATGTTTTTTTTCTATTTCATCATTTGAACTTTAAATTAATTAATTGCAAAGTTGTTCAAATTCAGAATTAAGTTGATCTTCATTTTTTTATATAATTTATAATTTTTTTGAATCATTTAATACCTCTAAAATTTTTTGTTAAATTTTAGCAGGAATATGATTATATTGAAATTATCTTCTTTATTAATGAATCGTTTATAAAATTATTAAGGATACTTCCAAGCTGATAGCAGAATATACTTCTTCAATATTACCTATAACTTTTTTTCTAATTGCCTCTGAAATAATCTGATATAAGTATTCACTTTATAAATCTTTAACATTTCCTACTTTTGATTTAAACATTTCGATTAAAAATTCTATAAAAAATCTTTTTGTAAAAAATCAAAATCCTATAATGAATAACATGTTTTGCTTTTTTCTATTATTTCTAAAATAATTTTCTCAAAATCATTAAAATTTCCATTAGCTTAAGTCATTTTATTTATGGCTATTTTATTTATTTATTCATAATCCTTCTATTCTTTTAAATCTGAAAATTCCACCAAATCTGGTAATTTTGACACTATATCCCAATATTATTCAACATTTGTAATAAATGAATTCCAAGTCAACATTTCATGATGATATTATTTTGATTATTTATACTTATCGATATACTTTCTTATTATTTATACTCCGAAAGATAAGGCATTTTTTGAATATTCTTATTGATTTATTTCTTATTTAATTTCTGATTTTTAAGTTTTATTTTATTATGAAGAGTTATATGGTTGCCACTCTTATGAATTAGTTGCCATACCTAGTATATATACATTATCTATTGTTATATCTAAGTATTTAGTATAATCCATTTGTTTGCCTTCTTCATTAACCATAATTTTTTCAAAGTTTAGTTTAGTTCCTATACTTTCAATTTACTTTAATAATTTATATTTTTCATCATCATTAATCTAGCTATTTTAATTGAAACACCAAGCAAATTGCTTTAAAAATATTTATTCTGAAAATTTTGCAAGTGTGTAAAAACTTGATTCAATAAGATTATGAAATGCTGAATGAATTTCGCCTTTAACATTAAAGATAAGAACATCGCTTATTGAAATTATTAATAGAGAAATTTTCTTATCAAATTCAGGATCTTTTTAATTAGGATTTTATAATCCTTCTGAATCTAATAATACTATATAATCAAATAATCCACCAAATTATTCTTTATTCTATATCTTTAACATTTATAGATATAATCCTTTTGTACATCTTCCCATACTAGTTAAAAAATGGCATCCAAAAATTCTATTTAACAAGGTAGACTTTCCTGAACTTTAAGGGCCTAAAATACTCAAAAACAGAATTTTATTATTTTAACCATTTAATAGTGATTCTCGTAATAAATGAAAAAAATTGAAATCTATGCTAAGATTATCACCATTTAAAAATTCAAAAGGCTCTCCTTTCTTAATCAAATTACATACTGTTGTTACTGGATTATTTTTAAAGGAACTATTGCCCTAAATTACTTCCCTCCAAAATAATTCAATGGTTATAGTTTACATAATAATTTAATTTTCTTATTATTTCAAATCTATTAGTAATTTTGATCTTTCTTTTTGTTACTCTTCTTTTAATGATGCAAGTTTTAGTTTTATTTCCTAAATATTTTTATTTAATTGTTAAAAATTTCTTTTGTTAAATTTTGCAATTAATTCAACAAATCTTAAATAGATTATGTAAAAGTTATCGTAATTAAAGATATTATTAAATTATATAATTAAGTTTGATTCTTGATAATTCTATGATTTATTTTATTACTCAATTTAACTAATTTCCAATATAATCTATTGTAATTTTAATTAAGCTTATTTAATGTTTATGTTAATCTACTCTTTTTCATTTTCTTTTTAATTTATTTATTCAAAATCAATATTTTCTTTTTTCAAATCATTTATAGCATTTTGTTTTTTTTCTAATTCTTATTCATATTACATTTTTTTATAGTTTAATTCCTATTTTTATTTCTTGCAGCATTACATTCGCCATTATAGATGTCTTAATGGAAATGCTTTAATAGAATAAAACCCATCGTGTTCTTTTATCATTTTTTCTAATTCTTCTGATAGATTATTAATAATCATTTCAGAATTATCATTTTTATCTTATAGTTTCTTAAAGGATTTACAAATTTCTAAAAATTATTTCTGTAACTCTTTTTCATTAACTTCTTTATTTTAATTATCTATCATTTATACGATAAATTCTTTTATTTTTTATCTTTCATCTATTATTATAGCCTTATTCTCCAATTTTGATAGATTTGGAATCTAATGGATTTTAATATTTAAACTTTATTGCTATAGAATACTTAATTTATCTTTATTGAATTGTTTTATTTCTGAGTCTCTTATAATAAGAATAATTTTAGGTTTTAAACTAGTTTTCTTAAGCAAATCTATCAATTTATCTAAATTTTCTTCAAATTAATTTTCTGATTATATTTAAATTATCCAAAGTTTAAAAAAAGGGAGCAATTTTACATATATTTCATCTTCCAACTAACCATGTACATCAGCTACTAAGTAATTTCTGCTACCATTAAAAGAAAAATCAAATTAACAATCTATCGAATTCTAATTCATTGAAGATGAATCAGAAACTTCAAATTTTAAATCTTTATAATCATCATAAAATAGTATATTCATTAATTCAGATTTTCCAAATTAATTTGCTTTTTTACTTAAACAAAAATTTATAATTGTAAAATCATTAGATAATAAGTAATAAATATTTGAGTTAAATGCATAATAGTCTAAAATTGAGTTTATATTATTTTCTAATTAAGGATTTTGATAAAGTAATGGAACAGGATAATTTTTTGAGTGTATTTTTAATAACATCACTTGAAGTTCTTTATCTGAATTATTGTAAAGTAATTAAAATAAAGATTTTAAGTTGAATGTTTCATTATTGTTATTTTAATTTCTTTAAATGATATTCTTGTTAATTAAGGCTAAAAAATCTTCTGGAGATTCTCCTCTTTTTATAATATTAAAATAATATGGAAGCAATTTCTTAAAATTGGTTTTATCTCCTCTATTTTTTAACCATTCTTAAACAGTTAATTCTATATCCATTTGTGATGTTAATGAAATGTTAAATTCTTCCATTTAAATCATTAGTTATTTTGGGTATTTATTAAAAATCTCTTTTTATTTAACAACTCTTGACATTTTTAATTATGTATTATTCTTTAAAGCTTACTGAAGTTAAAGTAGGTTAATCTGATGCTAATAAGAGAGTGAGGCGAATTATTTTTATTCAAAACATTTAAAACTATCTTTAATCCATTACCGAATAACTTCAAACTTATCAAATGTATCATTTATTGCTAAAAATTTGAAAAAGTGAATTGATTTATTTTAATTTTATCTTTAAAATTAATAGAACATTAGCTTATTTGAAATGCTTTTGGATTCATTTAATTACTTTTCTATAAGAATTTCGATATTTTACTATCCTAATGTTTCAAATATATTAATAAACTCTTACTCTTATTTTTCTTATTACTTATAAGCCTGAAAAAATTCATCACCTTCAATATTTTTATAATAAATTATTTTGTTAATCATATATCTGTAAATTCTATCATTGCATTCAGATCTGAATTTTACTATGCCATTTACTAATACTGTCTACTTCTTTTAAGATTTAGATAATCTTTTTTCAATTTCTCCTATGCTTTCATTAATGTTAAATTTAAGAATGTACTAAATCCAAAAATAAAAGACTAATTTAAAGTAAAGATAATCAATATTTTGATCAAAATTTTCTGTTAAAGATATATATTGTATGAGATCATCTTTATTTACTACTTTATCATTTTTATAGATTAGATTTCTAATAAAATTTAATAAATTTTAAGCATGAAATTCAAGTTTTGTATTCAACAATTCAAATAAAAAAAGTATTGATTTATTTTTACAATATTTTAATAATTCATCTTAACCTTATTACACAGAAATTTCTAAAAACTACACCTTTTCTATACATTATTTAAAATATTGTTCTTCTTATTTATTTTAATTAATGACTTATTCTATATAATATTCAAATTTATAAATCTAATTTTCTAAAAGAAAACCAACTAATTGATGAATTAATCTTTTTATATCATTATGATATTCAATAAAAAACAAATTAATAAGCACTTTTAAAATTGATAAATACTGAAATTGAGCTCTATCTTTCATCAATTCTATAAGCTCAAATATTAAATGAAGATCTTTTCTTATTTGCGAAAGAGGAGTTAAATAATCTTTGATTTCAATAGGTATTTAATTTGCATCACAATATTCTTTATTTTTTACATCCTAAAGAATTTAATCAAACTCTTTTTTCTTAAAATTCTCAATATAATTTGAATTAATCGCATCAGGTGTGGATGTAGATTATTTAATATCATTATCAAGTACATATTGAAAATACGGTCTTTTTATAAATTCCTCATCAGGAAATTATTAATGTAAATGTTATATCATTTCTAATCTTTGTTATTAGTCTAATTTAGATAAATGTTATTTTAGATCATTTTCAATTTCTTCATTTTAGAAATAAACTTAATTTTTGATATTATCAATAATGGTATTGATTTCATTATAACAGTCTTCTTCTTGAGAAATGAAGGAAGAGTTTTATTTCATTTAATAGAAATATAGTTTTTATTCTAAAATCATTAAGAAATTGTTAATGCGTCATTATTCTTTATAAAATTAGGAAAAAATTAATTTTTTTATATGTAAATTTTATACAACTATTTTTTTGATAATTCAAAGCTATTATCATTGTTAAGCTTAATTATTTTCATTGTATGAAAGAACAAAAATTAGCAGCAATTGTTTATTATATTTGTAAGTCATATTCTTCTTCAATTATAATTAGATTGTCATAAGTAGAATAATTTCTATTATTATATTTGATTATATATAATTGTTTTAATTAAATTACATAATAATAAGTATATATATGAATTTTTTAATATAAGCAACGTACTTCAGTTCTAACAAAACAATAATAAATGAACTAAAAAAGTTGTCAGTTTTAGTTTAGAATGCATATTTAATGATAAAATTATTGTGTGATAAAATGTGTCTATATTTATCATTTAAAGAGTACAAAAAGCAAAATATTTGATTATATTAATAAACTCAAAATTGAATTACAGTCTTACCTACACAAATTGTTCAGGCTTGGAAAAATGGTTGAAAATTAAATATAGTGAACATATGACACATTACGTCTTTTTTATCTCACTATCTTTTTGGATGTTGGCTTTTTAATATTCTAAACTTGTAGAAAACTATAAACCCATTTTCTCTTTCTATATTAAGAGGGTCGAGCAGGAATTTTCAAGGGCTAAGACCTTTCAGGATAAATGAGAAGTTCTGGTCCATGAGTTTAATTAGTTTGAAACTTTAGCATGTGACCTTTTCCAGTCTCAACTAAAATATATTATTCAGAACAACCTGAACAAATTTAAAAATTGATCATCATATACTATTGTGTATTATATTATCGATAGTTTCTTCATCTGGATAATAGCATCTTTAGATAAGTCAGAATTAGCTTCTACAGAAATAGCAGATGTGACTAATTGGTTTCACTTAAGAACTCTTTCATTTAAAGTAAGAATCGTGGATTGAGATAGTGAGAAACTTACTAATAATATTTTCTCTATTTCTTCCCCTTAAGAGTTTGCTCTGCAATACCTTTGTTAATTTTCCCATTTACTTACCTTACTCTTACCTTTTGTCAAAGTTTATCTAAGGTTCTTTTCTCTAAAAAGTGTTTTAAATATTTCAGTATCTTTGAATTGGCTAACTCTGCTTTAATTCTTCCACTGATCGTCAGGTACCTATTTCTCCTCAAATCAATTCATAGGATCTACTCCATTAAAAAAATAATTAATCATCTCATTCTTAATCTGTGTTCCTATCTATTTATTATTTATTCTGAGTTGTTCATAAATTTTAATTCTAACTCCTCCTTTTGGGTTAAATCTAATTATCTTGCCTAGAGGTAATATATCATTACTACATTAAAATAGATTATTTTTTTTTAAATACAAGTGTACTGGTATTGCACTAAGAATTCAATAAGATTTATGAGAGGATACTTCCAAACTAGTTTTAATGGATCTGATACATGCTAGTTATTTATAATATTATTTTTTGTATTCTTTCTAACATTGACAACATATTAAGGGCAGCTATGTAGAAGCCTTCATAGTTTCCATAAATTGTTCCTTAACTTTCTTCTTTCCTGTATTATTCACTTTCTTTTCTTTTATTTTATTTACTGAGTATTCTTGTTTTTAATTTCCAATTATTCCAGCTTTTGTTTATGGGTTTTTCTAATTCCTATTTTCTCCTACTTTATATTCAAGAACATTGGTAGTTTTAAATTCGAAAAATCATAAAGGACATTACATTAAACAACCCCTGGGTACTCATTTATCTAATTTGTTGATGAGAGCTTAGTCTAATTCCTTGTTCAATTTTCTCTGAATCAAAAAATTAAAAGAAAATTATAATAATGATAATAATAATATATATTCATCATTTATTCTCTCATGTTCCCCCTTTCTTTCGTTTAAATTTATCTATTAGTAATCATATCAGTTGTGATATTCTTATTCTAAAAAAATCCATCTACTTTGGAAGTAACCTTTTCTTGATACTTTTTATTTCCATAATATTGAATATTTAGTTTACTTTTTCTATGATTTAAAATTGCCAATAGATTATAAAAACTATGTCTCATGTAAATAGAATGGAAAAGAAAAAGTCTTTCTTTTTAAGTTAATTGTTTGTTAATCAACTCACTATTAACAATGAATAAGTCCTTATAACTACAGACACTTTTGTTACCTAAGTGTTCCTAAATTTTGTTCAAGTTCTTTTTTATTTTGCTTAATGTACATTATTGCGAATGTCTTTCAAATGAGGATAAGGTCTATTGTTTACTTATTATCTACAATCCCTAATTTATACTTCGGTATTAACTTAATGAATATTAGAATTCAATTTTAACCACTTATAAAGAGGGCTTATTTGACTAAACTCATTATAATTACAAATATCTGGAAATGATTTATTCAAAAGGAATTAGCCAATGTCATATACTATTTCAGCTCCATTTATTTTACTCATATTTTCTTTTATCTTTTAAAATTTATTGAAAGTTTTAGGTTCAAGCGAAGTTAAATTATAAACATTTATATTTTTTTTCAAGACCTTCAATTTTTCAGGTTTTGAGAAAAATAAAAATAAAAGTAAAATTATTAAAATATTTATATCAATATAATGATAAAAATATTTGTAATTCAAAAATGATCAAAAGGAAAATATGTCCAACATAAATAATGATATTAAAATTAGTCTAATAATTAATATAACAAAGCTTTGTAATTCAAAAAGATCATAATTAAAAGTATAAATCATAGAAAATATTTTTTAGAAAAAAATCAAATCAATAGTAAAGCTATGTAGTCTATATATTTTGACAAATTATATATCTATCTTATATTAAAATATATCATAGAACACTTATTATCATTATAATCAAATAATATTTGCTTATTTATAAATAATTTTTATAAAAAAAAAAGGAATTGAAATCAGAATATATTCATCTTATTACATAGAAAGTACTGATACTAAAGGTTCTTTTCAAAATATTACTATATATATTCCTAATTTATAAGTTACTTTTAATTATGATTAAATAAAATATAGATCTAAATAATATTTCCTTTAAATAGATTTTATATTAGATATTTATAATAGTAGAATCAAGAATAAATTGAATAAAAGCAAAAGTTTAAATTTTTATTCAAACTCACTCATTTTATTTTATAAACAAAAAAATTATATTAATATTTTGTGAACGTTCATATGATAATAAAAAGCAAACGAAATTAATAAAATAGGATATTAAATTTCTTGCATTGTCTAACAAAAATTTCCTTTAAATAAGTAATACTTAGAATAAGCATTGCGATCTATACACCCAATAAAATTAAAGCGTTTTTTCATTTGTATAGATTTCTTTCTTATTTTATTTTCCAGAATTTTGGATTAAATGAATAGAATACGAAAGTGTATTCACTATTGGTGTGGTGATATCATAAAATATATTCCTTAATATAAGACAATGATTGTAAAGAATATATTTACTTCATCTGTAAAAAAATACCTTTGACTTTTCTATTTGGTTAATATTACAATTAATACATTTATGAATTAAAATCAGAAATCTTCAATAAATGATAGAAGATAATCTATGAATCCTTAATTAATTTATATAAAATTGATCGATTACTCTTTAAGCCATTTGCATATAAGTCTAAGCAAATCGAAATAGAAAATAAAATCTACTGTTTTTTGAACTGCCTTTCTTTATAATATAATTAATATTATGTCTGTCCTATTTGTCTTTATTTTATCAATTAATTGGTTGATAAGAAGACGAATTCAAATTATATTGTCAATATTTAAAAGCAAACTTAAAATCAATAAACAACTTGATGAATTTAGAGTTAGCTTTTAATTCTATTTTAATTAATTTGGTTTTAATATGATAATCATAATAAAAAATAAGAATTTAAATATATGATATATATGTTGAAAATTAGCTAAAAAAAATTAAAATAGTTGAATATCATCTAATAGAATAGGGGAAAAAGAAATACAAACCAAAAACTGAATTTAATAAATATTTCGAGTTTGAAAAACGATCAATTTTTGATTTAGACAATATAATTTATTAATATAATAATAATAAATGATAATAAATCAAGAATATCATTCTCTTGTTTATAATGAGCAAAGACATTTACGAGGAGGAGGTAGTTCCATTAGTTGTTCTGATAGTAAAAAAAAAATGAATCGTATCTATACTCTGATTAAAGAATTAAATTAACTTGAATATAAGATAGGAGGACCTAAATATCAATTATGCTAATAAATAAAATTTTGTCTAGATTTAATTGTGAAAATTTATCAGGATTGGATATAAAAAGAAATAAACCTAAGTGATGTAATGAATTACAACTCATTCAATAAATAAATTGAAAATATAAATGATATTTTAAAAGTTTAGGATAATTGGACAGGGAAATGCTGTTTAGATTACTATTTAGGGTTGATAAATATCTCCTTAGAAAATTTATAAAAAAATATATCTTAAACCAAAAGTATTAGTATAATAGGTTTGTTTATATAAATAGAGAAATAGAAAAATAATAATGAAAATATCTCAAATTTAATTGATGCAGCTAGTAGTTTGTTAATAGGAGTATAATGTAGATATTTCACTTAATTTTAAAAGTTCGAAACATATTATTTTTTTATTCTCTTAAATAAGATGATAAAATATTAAGTAAAAAAAGGAGTGAGTATTGATGTCAATAACTATTTTTTTAAAATTTAAGATTAATATATTAAAAACTCAACAAATTGGACTCTCCATAATTATTGGATAGAATTTTTAGTTGATTTACTTAGATTTTGTAAAAACTTTAAAAAAGAGTAAAAATCAAAAAAATAAGGAGCTGTAGATGTTATAACTTACATAACTAATCAAGATGGGAGAAACTTATTTGATATTTATTTATAAGATTTCGAATATGAAGAATTAAAACAAAATAAATGGATATCTATTGATAAACCTGAAATACATCGCTTAAACAGAATAGTAAATTTTTTAACTGGAAAAGTTAATTTAATAGAGACTTAATTCTAAAAATTAAATGAATCATATGATATTGAGTAAGTAAAATAGATTTTTTAAGAATTATATTATCCTTTATTAGCTTTTTAAATCTATTTAATAGAAATGTTATAATTATTTTAAATGATATAAAGAATATAAGAATAAAACATAAAAATAAAAGATAATTTTGATAAAATTAATTTTATTATAAGTAATATATAGGAGTAGATCAAAAGTACTCTTGATACAAAAATTACTATTAAATTTTGGTTTAAACTTTAGATGATTAAAAATAATAATTATAATAAAGATAGATTTTTATAAAAAAAAAGTACACTTAAATTTCAAAATTAAATACAATAATTAATTAAATTAGTCCAAGTATTGTAAAATTTCATTATTTAAGAAAGAATGCTCTTTACAAATTAAATTATTTTATTAAATGATTCATTATCACAATTTAATTACGGATTTGAATCTCAAGATTTTGACTCAATTTAACGAAAGTCTCCAGTAATTGATACTTATGAAGATCTATGTTATTAGATTAATTTTCATCTTTTATGGTTTTCTCACATTAAAAAGATTCAAAAAATTTACTATTCAAAGCAATAACAAGAGACCTTAGAAAATATAATCAGAAATTTGAAAGTTTTGAAATAAGAGTTGTCAAAAATGTAACAATTTAGCTAACTTAAATAAAGATTTTTTAATCTAACAGAACACATTGAAAAATGTATAGATAAAGATTAATAAAATAACGAAAACGAACATGAACATGAATAAGAATTGCCATATAGTTATTAATTATTTTATTAATAGATTGAATTAATTATAGATTAAAAAAATTAAGATAAATATAAAATTGAAGAATGTATTAACTATCATTTTCAGACAATCTAAAATAATCCAGGAAATTAGAAATTGATTTCATCTTGTCTCTAATAAATATAAGTTTTTTTAACCAACAAGATAAAATAACTTAAAAAGAAAAATTAAATAAATGATATATAAAGTATAGAATCCTAGATGTAAATCTTAAGTGCTAGCATTAGAAATTATTCAACAAATTACAGTATTTAGGAGAACTAAGATTTCACTGATGCTTGGAAATAAATTGAATCTATTTTCTAATCAACTAAAAGCTAATTTAGAAATGAATCACCAATATAAGAATAAAATTTGGATGCAAACTAAATTTTAAGTATCCTAAAAAGATGCAAAATTGATATTGCATTAAGGACTAAGTAACATGATTCTCAAAATCATAAAATTTAAATAAAGTAATCGTAATAATAATTAAATTAAGTTGGTCAAGGAGTTTTCGAAAAAAAATTAGATGATGTAATTAAATAGTTTATTTGTAAAGAGAATCTTAATGTTGTGCTAATCATATCTGGTTAAATTGGATGTGGTAAAACAAAATCCTTGAAGAAATTAAATAAATATTTATAAGAAATTTAAAGAGATGATCCAAATTCTCAAAATTGGATCCCAATTTATTTAAATCTATCTGATATTAAGGAGCCTTAAAATTAATTATTAAGAAAAGCATTTGAAAAATATAGCACCTAATTAAATATTCAAGATGTTAATAAATTTTATTCAGAAATTCTTTAGAGTAAATATAAGGTTGTATTACTTCTGGATGGTTATGATTAATTGATAGAATAAAATAATATAATTTTGTAAAATGGATTAGATAAAAGAATAAAGAATTTATATAATGAGGTGACTTTAAAAATTATTATGACTATAAGAAATGACATTATACCTTCTGA